CCACCATGCTGTGGCAGGCATTATCTCTGCAGTTTTCATAGAATTCAGATTTCCAGAGTATAAAATCTCCTCTGGACAGGGTGGCTCTGGCCATCTGATGCCAGTCATTAGGAGTTAGCCATGAATCTCCTAAGGTCTTGAGAATGGAGAGAGTGAAGGGGGCCACATGTCCATACTGAGTCACCGCAGCAGTCACTTCAAAAAGTATCATCGTTGAGTACCAAACGATGATACTCACTTTGAGTTACCTCATGCCTGTCCTTGCCCTCCCCTTCCTGCTTGATCATTTCTTTTACGGGAAAAACATCGAGGGTGGAAGCCCTTGGTTGGTTGAAGTAAGATTTACTGTCAGTTTTTCCCTGTGGTGTTGTGACCAGTTTAGAGGCATTATCTGGCGTGACAGGTGAGCCCATTAATTCGAGATCAAGGGCCCAAAGTTCAGCTACCAAAGTGTTCTGTTCCTTTTTTAACTGAATCGCCTCTTGAAGTGCCTTTATGTGGGATGAGAGTCTTTTTTGGTCTGCTGAAGGATAGGAAAGGGAGGGTAATCAACAAACGGTTCTTCCATCGGGGTCAGGGCATTGGGAACCTAGAGTGTAGATGATCCTGTGAAAGTCCAGGGAAGTGAAGGGCAGGAAAATTATAGGGAGGCAGTCATTGAGAAATGGAAGGGGGCCAATCAGAGTGAACATAACGAGCCGCTTCAATTTCTAATTCTGTTTCTTCCTCTGGGGGAAGTCGGTCAGGAAGATCTATGGGAGGGGTATGGGATTCCAAAAGGAAGACTGCCGGCTCTCGACATAAGTCTTTTTTGCAAGTTCAGGGGTAGTAGGCATGGTAATAGAAACAGAACCCTCACTGTCAGGGGAGTTGGAATGGAGAGATCTAAGGCTATGACTTGACTTGAGTAGAAGACACTCAAGGGGGCGGGGGGAGGGGTCTAGAGTTCTTTTTCTCTAGGAAATCCTGACCAGTGGAAACAGCTTTTTGGATCTCTGAGTGACACTGTTTAGTAGAGAGGACTTCGTTGATCAGAGACCAGTAATTAAAACATGTGATAGAAACTTTATCAGGACCAAGTGTGTTGTAAAAATCCTGAAGAGCGTCACCTACTCTTTTCCAACGCTTTAAATCAATGGTGCCCTCTTGGGGGAACCATGGACAGACATCATAAAGGAATGTAAAAAAACTGGATTATGTCCTTTTTGACTTTACCCCCCCCCAGTTTTAAGTGCCTCCTTTAGATCAATAACGAACTTCTCTCTAATCGATAATTACTGACCCATGATCAAAAGGAAAAAGTCTAAAAGGAGAAGCAAAGGAGGTGAGAAGAGAGGATAGGTTCAGAAAAGCAGCCAACAACAATTCCTTATAATCGTGGTGAACAGAATGCTTAGTGACAAGTACCTAATCAATGCACAGTTTTTCTTATGCAGGGGATAAGAATTTATCTGGGATTCAAGGCTGTGACCCCCTGATTTTTTCAAGGGAGACTTCTAGCTGTGGGTGCCCTAATGGCGTTTAAATGCCCGACCTGTGCCTTCAGGGGAGTAGTCATGGGTCTAGGAGAAACAGCATTCAAAGAGACAAATAACAATGAAGATAATGGATGTAGGATAACACTGTTTTATCCTTCCTGCATAACCTCAGGTAGTTTAGGTATATTAGGTTGCTCCCATCACAGTGCTCCCATTCCTCTATGTTTATTTGAAACTTCTTTCTTTGTGCTCTGTTGACTTGTAAATATTGTTTTTCTCTTCTTCCTAAGTCCTTTGCATAGTTTTATCAGAGCAATGTCCTTTTTGTATGGACACAAGAAGACATGCCTTTATAATGTGACTCTCAGTGATGTTTCCCTCCTGGGCATCTGTTCTCTCACCTAAGCCTCAGCTGCCTTTTCTTCCTACTGCCCTCCAAAGCAGGGTCCCGATGAGGAACTGTATGGAACCAGGGCAAGTGGTAAGCTATGTGCTACTCTGGCATCGAGATGGGCCTGGCCAAAGCGCCACAATGCTTAACTATAAATTAAGAGCTTGGTCATGAACAAATGCTGTCACGATTCAAACATAATAACTAGATTTGGACCCTGCTAGGGTTAGGAATGAGTAATCTGGCCTGAGCGCTGTAGTCTGAGTCTGTGGCAAGATGTTCCCAGGAGAGCTGCCCTATAAGTCTCAATGTTATCTCTTACTGTGTCCATACAAAATTAGCTAGTATTGATATGCTGACAGTTATTGGACTGAGGAAAAGAGAAAAACACCTTAAGGAGGTATTTTGCCTGGGGCAGTCAGGAAGGGCTTTAGAATACCTGTTAGGTGGGCCCTCAGGAAGGGCTTTCTTATGTTGATTTTGCTACCTGACTGGGTGCAGTGTCAGCCCAGACTGCAGGGCAGTTGGAGAGGCAAGAGAGCTGGGGAGAGAGAGGAGAGAACAAGATGGACTGCCGAGAGGCTAGCAAGGGAGAACATGTGCTTGAGAGAACCTAGGCCCTCTATAACATAAATTCCTTGTATGGCATAAATTTCCTTGTAATAAACTGCTACGAAGACCAACCAGCCTGGCCCTTGTCTCTTCCTTTGTCTGCCCTTGGCCAACAGCTGTCCCGATCCAGGCCACACACAGAGGCTCAAGAGCACTGAACGCAGGCGGTGAGACAGAGCTGTCCAGAGAGTCCGCGAACACACAAACTTCAGTGTGCATAGTTTTTTTACAATGGAGGTCAAAAAGACTATAAAAACAAATGGCAAATCTTGTGGCAGGACACAAATGAAATCAATAGAAGAGAGACATGCCATGAGTAGGGGAAGAAGAGAAAAAGTTTTGACCACCTAGTCCCCTTCTGACATAGGTTGAGAAAAGAGATCCACCGCTCACCTTTCCAGAAGTCTTCGTGACTCCTGTGATCGTGGCCACTTCTCAGCAGTGCTTGTCGCAGGGGTCCCTTGTGCCACTAGTGAACGTGGGTAACAAGGATAGGGTGTGAGAGTGAAAGAAAGAGACAGAGAGCAGGACTAGAGTATAGTGAGCCAAAGCTGCTTTATTGTAAATTCCACAGCACTTATATACTTGAGCTTAAGCTTTTTTCCTCAAAGCTTTGGGACAAAGGCAGATAAGGGTAGTCATGGGACAGATGGGGAGATAACAGACTATCAGGGGCTCTTCACAAGTCTGCTCATTAAATCATGCACTGACAGTAAGAATGTCATGTACTGTTTTTTTAGTTCCTGTTGGCCAACCATCCTGTTCTTGTAAAACGCCTTTCTTAACCCTGTAAATATTTTATAGGCAATGTCTTGCAAAAGCTACCTACCCAAGAGCCTGCTCACCACACTTGATCAGAAGCCAGACAGGCCATTCATGGGCGGCGACACAGAGTCTCCTTGGGGTGGGGAGGAAAGGGCTGGCTCCACCCCCATCCCCAGAGGCCCTGTGTCTTGTCACTGCAAGTCCAAACCTGACTGTCCAATTGTCTCTGGAGGATGGTGGCCACCGTGCCACTAGGGGGAACAGGCCAAGGCACGAAGCCTATTCCCACCTGGGGTGGCCCGGCGCTGGTAATTTATTACAGAGACTGGATGCATTTCTGCCAAAAGCCACTGGGTTCCGAGATTTGTTTCTGAGTCTCTTGGATCATGGCTATTAGACAGCTTGATCAAGAGCCAGAGAGGCTGTTCGTGGGTGGAACTTGGGGTCTTGGGGCAGGGAAGAAAGGGCTGGCTCCAGCCCCATCCTGAGAGGCCCCACGTGTCTCATCACTGCGGGCACAACCTGACTGTCCAATGGCCTCTGGAGGATGACGGTCATCAAGCCGTCAGGAGGGAGCAGGCAGAGGGACAGCACCCTTTCCCCCACCCAAGGTGGCCCGACGCTGGCAACCTACCGCGGGGACCAGACACATTTATGCCAAAAGCCGCTGGGTCCGAGATTTATTTCTGAGTCTCTGGGATCATGGCTGTTAAGCAGTTTGATCAGGAACTAGAGAGGCCTTGCCTCTAGTTATGTAGCTGAGCCGGAGGTGGTTTGTGGGTGTGTCTCTCACATACCTAACTTTTGGTCATTTATTTTCTTAGTAAACTTGGCCCCAAGTTGTTGGGGTCTGGCCAACGGCATAACAACAATTTTGGGATATCTGAAAGTCTGAAGGCGCCATCAGACTGCTGATGCACTCGCTTCACAGGTACAGACTGACCTGCTGGCGGCACCATACCCCCTAATTCTTTATTTCTTCTTCAGTTTCCTCCTTGACCAAATAATTATTCATTAGTATGTTTTGTCTTGAAATATTTAAGTTTTTTCAAGAATATAGTATTATTAATTTCCTCATGAAAGGAATTCTAATTTGTAATTTGAAAATATAAGATTTCAATATGAAAAATAAGCTTATATACTTTCTATCATTATGACTTTATTAATACCTGTTTGTGTCCAGCATATTCATATTGTCTGCCCTGAAGAATGATCTGCATGCTCTGGAGAAGATGTGTATTAAGCTTAGGTGAGTGGAGACTCTGCACATATCTATGAAGTCGACACATTCCAATTCCTTATTTAAAACTATTGCTTTCTTTTTATTTTCTGTCTACTTTGTTTTCCCAGGGACAAGTATGGGTTTCTAACATCTCCTACAATGTTGCTGTTGCTTTTTCCACTCAGGTATACCATCAGTTGCTTTATAAACTTTAATATTCCTTCATTTAATATACATATACTAAAAGTATTAAGTCCTCAATAATTCCAAAAATGTTAGTCTTCTTGATAAGTTGATCCCATAATATATAATATCTATCCTTTTTTCTTATATCTTTTAAGTTTTAACTCTCTTTTCTCTAAATATGGCCATTTCTGCCTTTTTTAGACCATTTGTTTATATTATTGCCTTCCAACCATTTAAGTTTAATTTTATTACTGAATATTGAGTGGGTCTTCAGTAAATAGCAGAAGATATCCTGTTCTCTGTGACACTTTGTGACTTTTGTTTGATGAGTTCAATTCATTGACGTGTACTGGCTTTAGCAGTACATATACTAAAACTGAAATAATACAGAGATTATCATGGCTTCTGCACGAGAATGACATAAATTTGTAAAGCATCCAATTTATTTTAGAAGTTCCCAGAGTTGAGGAATGCATGCATGCAGTATCAAGGGTAGTAGCTAAAAAAGACACAAACAAAATACTCCTAGATGCATCATAATCAGAATGACAAAAGACAAAGATAGAGTATTAAAAGCAGCAAGATCAAAGAAAAAATGAGATTCCTTATTTTCTTATTCACAAAGATTTATCAAGTGACAGTTTAAAGAAATTATTAATATAACAGTGTTTGTTTCCATTTTCTATTGTGATTAAAGGTGTTTTTGCATTTTGTCTTTGTTCTTTGGCTTTTTCTTATTTTCTCCCCCTGTACTTTGAAATTTGCTAGTTCCATAATGGCCCAGTTTCCATTTGCCTCTTTTTGTTTCTTCCCTTTAAATATTTTTTATCTTGATGGCCTGTAGCGATAGCACAGTGGTAGGGCGTTTGCCTTGCATGCAGCCACAGCCAACATGGCCAACCCGAGTTCAATTCCTCCGCCCCTCTGGGAGAGCCCGGCAAGCTCCCGAGAGTATCTCACCTGCATGGCAAAGCCTGGCAAGTTCCCCATGGCGTATTCGATATGCCAAACACAGTAACAACAAGTCTCACGATGGAGATGTTACTGGGCCCGCTGGAGCAATTAGATGAACAACAGGAGGACCGACCGAGACCATGACCGATCTTGATGTTACCATCAAACATATCTTAAGTTCTAATTTCTCTTTTAAAAGAAATGTAAATGTTCTTTTAAAATTTATGGCAACTATGGGTCTGAAGCAGTAATACAGTGAGTAGGGTGATTGTCTTAACACTCAGGTGACCTGGGTTCGGTCTTTGACACCCAATATGGTCCCCCAAGCACCAGCAGGAGTAATCCCTGTGTGCAGAGACAGGAGCAAGCCCTGAGCACCACTGGATATGTCCCCCAAATCCAAAATTTAATAATAACAAAAATTTAATAATAAGAAGAATTCATTCTAGGAGATTCCATTAGTACTTTTCCTTCCTCCCCACATTTTGTATTTCTTATGTAGTTCACTACTTCCAATTAGTTTTTGTTACATTTTATAAATGCTATTTAATATTTATTGCAGATCATGTTTAATGACATGGGTTCCTTTAACTATTGTTTATCTAAAAAGCATTTTATGGGTCAGAGAGATGACTCAAAGAGCTGGTGAACACTCTGCAGGAGGATATCTGGGCTATACCCAGCACTGCACTGTCCTTGAATATCTTCGTGTTCTCAAGCACAAAACTGATAGTAGCCCTAAGCATTGGTGGAGGTGACCCCAAAATAATTAAAGACTCTTTATCACTCCTTCAAATCTGACTGCTAACCTAGTTGGTTAGAGAATTCTTGGTTGGAAGTCCTTTTAATTCAATAAATTAAATTTATTTCTTTAGATATATCTTGCCATTTGATTTACTTCTGACCTGTATGTAGAGCTTCAGCTGATAGAACTGCTACCAGCCTTATGGGGGCAGCAGTTATATACACTTATATGTGTACCTCTGCTTTTTGCTTAAAACTTTTAAGAGTCTATCTCTATCTTTGATTCTTGCCATTGATTTGCAGTTTGTCTATTTGCATTTATTTTGTTGAAACTGAGTTTTCTGGATGTGGGAATACATCTCTACTCTCAAATTGGAGGAGTGAATTCTGGACTATTGTTTGCTTGTACCAATAATCCTCCTTTATCTTTTTCCTCTTCTGAAATCTCATTGGTTTAAATATTTTTCCTCTTGATGCTGTCACATATACAGTTGGGAGTTGTGTTGGGAGTTTTTTTTTTCTCATTAAAAAAAGACACCTTTATTTTCTTTTTTGATGACCTCTATTTTATCCCTGAACTAACTGATTAGATCATTGGCTTCTTCTACTCTGCTGTTGAGAATAACTTAACTATTGTTTGCTTAGCTCAGATACTACATTATTTAGCTCAACTATTTATATTTTGATTTTCTCTTTGCTTATAAAAGTTTTCTTCCATTGACTTTCTCTTTAGGATTTGAATATCTTCATAAATAGGTTTAGAAATTTTGAATATCTTTATCAGGGGAGGTTAGAAAATTTTTATATGCCTCAGTCATTCCTGAGCCTTTGCTTTTATCCATCAAGGTAAGTGAATTCCTTCTTTTGTCATTATCCCTGGTACTAAATGAGAGGTAGGAATGAGAGTCTGAATTCAAGTCTGTCAGGGATAATAACTGGTTCAGGAAAACAAGTTCCAAACTGTAATTGGTTCTGGGCTTGTCTGGATCTGGATTGTCACTAGTAGTTTTCAGGCTATAGTGCCATACATCAGCTACAACACCAAGATAGTGGTCCTGGACTGTGCCTCTGGGTTCTCAATTACTAGTGTCTAACAGTGACTTTAGTGTAAAAATTAAATGGGCTTGGACAATTTCTTGGACAACCACAACTACTAATAGCTGCAAATTTGGCCTTCATACCTACTGGGGGATTTGTGTATACCAGCACCTTACAGAATCTGTATTGAATCCAGTGGAGTGATCTGACTGTTTGGCAAAATCTGAGAGACCTGTGTTGCCACCAAATGTTTAAGCTCATGAATGCCCTGGTTTACCTGTGTAGCACTTTTGAGCAGATCTAAGAATAGAATACCTAAACCAAACACAAAAGAGAGGGGCTCAACAACGGAGTACAAAAAGTCAAAGATCAAATCAGTGAGCTCAAGGATAAAGTAGAAAAAAGCATAAATAAAGGGAGAAAAAAAGTCTTTTTTAAATGAAGAAACACTAAGGGGTATATGTGACAGCATCGAGGAAACACATTTGCACCAACCAGGGGTTTTCAAGCTCTAGTGGTTACTCTAGATTTGTACCAAGACCTGCACTAAACATGTAGGTCTTAAACATGTTGTTCAGGCACCAGAGGCATTTGCTTTGCACACATCTAAGCCTGGCTCAATCCCTGGAGTCATATATGGTCCCCCAAACTGCACCATGAGTGATCTAAGCATAGAGACAGTACTAAACTCTGAGCACCACCAAGTGTGGCATAAAAATTAAAACAAATGTCTGTTCAGCTACCAAGGGCATCTTTATGCCAAGTTTGAGGACCTAGATAACAGTGGCCAGGTTTTTCGGGTTCTGAGTGCCCAAGTAAAGCTGTGTGTCAAGTTAGTTCATTCTTGAAGGGGTTCAAAGTCACAAGTACCTTGAGATACTTGAGCACTGATATTGAGAGAATCTGAACAGAAATTGGGGAATACAGGTTGCCAAGGTTTGGCAGTTCTCAAGTTTCCCTGATGTGGTGACACAGATGTGTGTATGTGTATGTCTGTGTTTGTGTGTGTGAGGGGGGAGGGTTTAATCAGTGTAGGGAGATAAGAGGTCTCGGATTTTCAGTCACAGAGCTTTCGATGCAGTGTAGAGTGGCAGCAGAACAGTAAGGAACTCATTGGGAGGTGTGATCTGCTTTCAGTCCACTGTTAACTTAGAGGATTGGGTTGATTTTGTCACTCAGTGACCCTTTTTCTCAGCTATTTGCATCAGATGGGTGGAGCTCACTTCAGGAATGAGTTTCCCTGAAAGACTATGACAGACTACCGAACCTGCCACCGGTTCTGACTCCCGTTTATGACTTTTGGAGGGAAGTTTACAATACTATTAATGGTTTTCTGTGGACATAATTCCAACACCACACCCATTCCTATTTATAAGTTACAATCTCTTGTCTCTCATTTCAGTGTTGTAAATACAGAGTTGGGACACCAGAAGCTCAGTACAACACCCCTGTTTTCAGGGCAGTGTTAGGTAACGTATAAGTTTCTTCTAGCTGAGAACTTTTTCCACTTGTCAGGTTCCATGTTTTTGGTATTTTTTCCTGTATACTGCAGTTTGCTGCTCTTCACGAGTTTTTGCTCCTGGCAAGAAACTCCACTGTCACACAGTTTCATTTCCATCTGAAAGCTCCCCTATGTTCTGAACCAGGAGTAAGCCCTGAGCATCCAGGTGTGGAGGCAGAGGTGAAAACTCTTTTCAAAAAATGGTTCTGAGGGCCATATTTACAGCATTCAGCTGAAGAGAAGGACAACATGGAGGGCGGGATCCACAGATCCCGAAGGAAAAAAAAAAAACAGGTTCCAAAAAGAGCCGAGATCATCGGGAAGCCCCAGATGGGGTAGGTACCGCATCCTGCCTCCCCCAGATGGAACCCCGGTGACCAGAAGCCTCTACAACCACAGCTCGAGTATGCGGGAACTTGGACTTTTCCTCAAAACCACGCGGCTGCTCACGCGGCCGCGCGACATCTCTCTATATACAAAGTGATCCATGGGAAGTAAAGCACCCAACGTTTCTCTCTGAAAATCATAGTTAAGTTTGGAGCACGGCCACAGCCCCAGAAACACAAGGACTTAATGCATAACCCAGCAGCTTGGAGCAGAAAAGTGAAAGGACTATGCGTTAATCCAGACCATCATGTCTGCCCGGAGGGGAAAGGGTGTTGGTCCCTTCCACCCTCCTCCCTCTGGAAAGAAAGATGGCGGCCACATGGGAGCCTTGTGGACAGCAGGTATGAGCCGGGGGAGTGGGGGCGACTAAAACCTCATGGGAAGGGGGGCATTCCGGTCCGTCCTTCACGCCCTACCGAGGTCACCAGTTGCCCCCCACGAGCGGCTCTCCAGCACGGCCACGGCCCCAGAAGCACAAGGACTTAATGCAGAACCCGACAGCTTGGAGCAGAAAAGTGAACGGACTATGCGTTAATCCAGGCCATCAGGTCTGTCTGGAGGGGAAAGGGTGTTGCCCCAGTCGCCTTCTCCTCTCTGGAAAGAAAGATGGCGGCCGCATGGGAGCCGTGTGGACAGCAGGTATGAGCCAGGGGAGTGGGGGCGACTAAAACCTCATGGGAAGGGGGGCGTTTCGGTCCGCCCTTCACGCCCTACCGAGGTCACCAGTTGCCCCCCATGAGCAGCTCTCCAGCACGGCCACAGCCCCAGAAGCACAAGGACTTAATGCAGAACCCAGCAGCTTGGAGCAGAAAAGTGAAAGGACT